AAAAAAAAAAAACAACAGAAACTTTGACTAAAAGTCAGGAAAAAAGAGATCCATCGTTGAATTTAGAGAATTAAAGTGAACACATGAACTTGAGTTAATTAAGGTCTGATAGGAACATGACATTTCAACGGATAATCAAGAAAAGAATCAGTTTTCAGTCAACATATTAGCTACTTCATCCATACGATTTGTTGGCTTCACACCGTTCTCTGGCATTTTGAAAATTGCGTGTTGAATAAATGTCATCATGTTAACCAACGCTGGCTCAAAAGTTTGATTGAAGATTTTATGTAGTTTGAAATATAAATCAAACGTTTGAGTGAATGTGAAAGTCTCAGGAACCTTAAGAAAGCAATATAAAATTAGCAAAATTGATTTGAATACACAAATTTTATCAAATTTATTCGATTAATGTTGCTCTATAATACTGATAAATCACACTAAATTTATTTCACTTACTGGAAAAACTAGGTTTTCAATTTGAATAAAATAGTACTTGATATCATTCATGGAAGTGCCGCATGCGACAATGTGTGGAAACCCTTTTTTTCCCGGCAACGGTGCTGCATTCAGCTGAAAATTATGAACACATTTATAAAACATTCTGAAATTTGGTGAAGATCAGATTAGCTACCGGTTCAAAGTGAATGAATTGATTCATCGATTTATTGAAATTCGGAATCGATGCAATGACATTGCGACCAACTTGATTAGTAGGAAACAGTTTCAATACAACCAAAACGTCTTCAATTTCAGCCGACCAATCAGTTTTGAAAGTTTTCTGTTTGTAGTGGTTAGCCAAAATTCCACGTAGTTGCTGGCTAATGCTTGGCCACTCGTTCACAAAAACAGATGCATTGACTGTGGGATTTGCTTGAGAAAATTCCATCAAAATCTGTGAAAGATCGAATATATTGAAGAAAATTGAATGAAATCTGTTATACGAAGTAAACTTTACCAGCTGTGGATGCGTGAAAAAGTAAGGAAACCATTCCTTCAAGTGAATTTCCTTATCCAATAGTAGCTTCAGTCGATATTCACGGGTGAAGTTGAGTTTTTCAGCAAAAATGGCCATATTTTCTTCCGTGACAATCAATGATTTCAAAAACACCACATCCTCTTTAGCAGTCGATTCATTTTCAATATTTGGCTCAATCGCACTGTCTTGATTGGACTGACTCACGTTAAGCTGATTCATTGCACTCTTATCCAACTTGTTTTTCACCTCTCGAAGGTATTTTATTCTTTTATTCAACCAGCCATTATCTCCTTTGATCAGTAAATCCTGAAAAAAATTGTTATTAGTTCATTATATTTGATCAAACACTTTAAGCCCATGTAATACGAACTGTTCCACCAGTCGTGCTGTTTTTGTATTTCAGACGAGGGAAGATGATAACTGTGGCCTTGGCTACTGACGATTTTTGATACGCTGAAGGTTTGAACCCGAATTTCTCAACAATAAAATCAGCCAAAATTCGTATCAATTCCTGCCGTTCGTTTACGTTAAGTGGCAATGCATCGTCCAATTGTTTTGCCGCATGCTCACTGTCCAGAAAGTGTTGCTTGTTCTTCGACTTGAAATAAGTTTCAATTTGCTAAAATTATAGAAAAAGAACATTTTTAAGATTTTATTGATGGAAAATGGACAAGAAAATGACTTGCCTCTGGTGTCACCAGCTCGTCGTTATTGTTCTGATTTGATTTGTGTTTGATTTCGACATAAAAGTTGCTTCCGCGGCAAAAGTTTTTTATGATTTGCATGAACATTTTACTTGGAATATCCGTTCCGATATTATCGCGCAAATAAACAGTACTTCGTTCGGATATTTTCGTTCCAAAGAGTGCCAATCCTAAAATAAGAAAACAACCCATTCGATTTATTAAATTTGACGAATCACTTGAAAAAAAATCAGTCTATGAGAAACTGAATTACCTCTATCAACAAACTTCTGCCATTCCAACTCGTTTTCACTTAAAACCACAAATTTTGTAGTGTTTTGATATTTTACTCGAACAATATATTCCATTTTTTACATTTTTTTACGAAAGAGCCGGTAAATAAAGTGAATCGATCATAGTAAACAAAGCAATACGTCAAACAACGTTGACAGATACATATTGCTATATATATGTACAATGTACATACTAGGCGGAAAAGCGTCTAATGACGGCGGAATTGTATGTAAAACCGTCTGGGTGCGTCTACCAGCCGTATTTCCGCCTAAAGCTAGACAATCATTTTTGACTGTGTAATAACGCTTTTTTCGCGCATTCTTTTCCCTAGCTGGAGAGAAAAAAAGCACTGGATTTTTTTTTCACTACGGGTGTACAGTGTATGGTGTACGCACCTATAACAATGCAGACAAAATATGGTAAATTGATCCTTTCAAGGTCGGGACTGGCGATTTCCTAAACTTAATGGTTAAGTTCAATACATGATAATTCCGTTTCAAAGAGTCATTTTAATTTCATTGCAACAGTGCAAAAATTCATGTGTGTACTGTGTACTCCGCAGTGAAAAATCAACTTTTTAGTACTCCGGTGAAAAAAATGCGCGAAAAAAGCGTTATTAAAATTGCATCTTAATAATATGTTATTAATTGAGTTAATAAATCCATCTTAATAATATGTTATTATTATAGGTAATAAAATGTTATTACCGCCGAATCTTAGGATTTATTAAGATAACACCCGATATAATGCATAACATATTATGTCATTATTATGCTGAATCTTAATAACGTTATTATTATGTTATGTTGGACCAATATATCGGCCGTTATTATTATGTTATTAAGTTTAGTTAATAATATGTTATTGCCTGTAAATCTGTATTTCACAGTGCAACAAAAAAAAAAGAAAAGTCATAGGTCAGAGAAACGGCTAGTATGGGGTGATAGTATCACCATAGCCGAGTAAAACCCCAGCTGGGTTTTGAAATTTCTGTTGGCATTTTCTTTTTATCCCCGTGTGCAAATAAAATGACTAACAGTCACTCAGTTGTATGTAACTGTATGTAGTGATACACAACTAAAACTGGCTAAGTTGATTGAAATCATGCGTTTTGTATGGAGACAATCACGTTTAATTATTCTTTCAGTCAGCCGACTAATTTGGGACATTTTGACTAAGAGTGATTTGTGATTAAAGTTAACTGCAGTTGCTTATTTTGTTCGAGGCAATCACTTTTAGTCAGTCAAAAATTTTCCACACGGGTCGACTTAGGTGGTTTATGAGATTCAGGGGAATTTTCAAAGTTGACCTCTTCAGTTTTTGGTCAATAACTCGTCTAATATGGGTGATAGCAGCTATCACTCTTAAGCAAAGTTGTAGTTGAAGGTTCAATGAACAAATTTTATCAACATATCCTATCCAAAAAATCACATTTGGTGGGTGCTAGGGCACCAAATGTCCGAAAAAGGTCAATTTTTTCAGTTTTTTTTACCATAACTCGCACAGTGTACATTTTTTTCACTTACTTTCTTCGACAAAATTGAAGCCAAAGAAAAATAAAACAAATCTTTTGAACACATAAACTCGAAAGAACCACATCCAGTACACTTCATTTGCTCAAAATCAATTTTGGGTACTAAACAATATTTTCGATCATTTTTTGAAGTCGATTAACTCCTCAACCGATCGAAATAGAGCAATGGTACTTGAAGCAACTTTTTAGCACTGCCAAAGAGCTTTGCAGGCAAAGTTCCGAAATTACTAAAATATCGCTAAAAATGTACTAAAATGTACTAAATTGCCTAAAATCTTATTGATGGCCATGAACAACTCTGAATGATGCAAGACGGTACTAAATTGTGTTGAACGCACTGTTTTGGACCATAGTAAACCCTAGGCACCGATGCTCAGCTAGCAAATTGATATTTCAATCGAAAAAGTTACAGTCTAAAATGTTAAATTTCCATAGATTATACTGCTGTTTAACAACCGGTCAAAAGGCCGAAAACTGACAGACCAAAACAAAAGTAA